TCATCTCATCGTTACCCCTTTTACTAATTATTGAGGATATAATAATTTCTAAGCTGAAAAAAAAAAGCACAAAGTATCTTGTATCATCACTACAATGTACAAATTGCATCCGGAATGAAAGGAGCAATATCTTCGGCAATGAATACGATTGGTCAGCCCATTCCAAATCTCCTGTCATTCCGAGATTGCTGATCTCCGTCATACCCCCAATGCCATCCTTGAAAGTGGAAAAAAATAAAAGGTAAAAGGTAACGCGACTTTACTTTCCAACCGTTTCCGTTTGAAAAACGTATCAAACAACCCATATTTCTCATACTTATCAGTGTTTGGAGTGTCCTTTGGTTTTCTCTTCCCATTTCCAATGACCTCTTTCTCTGTTATTATCCTTTTATCGCGTTTGCGAATACTTCTTTAATTTAATCCAATTTTTCTTCCCATTCTCATCCTTCAAACGTATGCCCTAGGTAAATATCAGAAATGCCTTTTTTCGGGCGTGCGTACTTATTTCTTCTTCTTCTACGAGTTTGGTTTGCCCTTTCTCCAAGTTATCTACATCCCGATGAGAACTTCCAAGGTCCAGAGGTTATAGCTGGTAAGTTTCACATTATTTCATGATGTAGCTTCCCCTTAGCTCCGGCAGATATATTCGGTCGGCATATCTGTAAAGGGAGCTCCTTGCATGAAATGCAATCTACAAAGCATCTCTGCTAACAATCTGCAGGTCAAATCTTCAGCTATCCTGTCAAGTTAACCTGGGAATTTACATCCGAAAATCCGATTCGAAGTGTCTTCCCATTATGGCCTATCTATGGTCTGCCGATGCTACTCCTTCGATGGCTCTGGATAGGAAATGGAAATGATGGGGAAATCCCTCCGATAGCAGTGTTTTTCGCGTTGCGGCTGTTGATGTTGACTTTAAGTTTTGTGCTTGGAGATTGGGCTATTTGGGAATTGGCCGAATCAAAAAGGCACTACAAAAGTGCAGTCTTACTTGTGGCATCTTCATACGTCACCTGGACATATCAAACACATACATTCTCGAACTCGATAGAAACATTGGCAGTCGCATGGAGTTTGATTTTGATACAGAAGATCAAGGCAATCAAGGTAGGACGATGCGGAGAATGTGTAAAATGTGGAATATGAAGCTAATTGTCGTAGAAGCACACTTCCGTATCATTATGCGGAATTCTTGCCTTCGTTGTGGTTTTTGGGGTATTTAATCGCATTACCTTTCCAGCCTTTTTGTTCATTCCGGGTCTTCGTCTATTACCACATTTCAAGAGAAAGTAAGGTTTTTCGACCCACATGTGTTACCCTAGCTGATTTTTGATTAGGCCCTTTTCGCTCGTTTCGATGATCCTCTTCGGTCTCCTTGCTACATTTATTGCAATCTCTTTGGATACGAACTTCTACGCCAAAGTCCCGGTCACTTGGTCCTATCTTTTCTCCCATCCAACAATTACTCCATTTAATAATCTAAAGTATAATCTTGCACCAGAAAATCTTGCGCTTCACGGCCTACATCCATGGTATCAACATAGTCTAATAAATCTCCCACAACTACTGGGACCCGCCACAATACTTCTCTTCTTACGACCTGTGGCTCCTCTTCGATTTTGCTCTGCTGTCTCGGGTGTTGTTGTTCTTTCATTTTTCAAACACCAAGAGGCACGATTTTTGCTTCCAGCCATTCCTTTAATATTATCATCTGTAAGATTACCCAAATCAGGAGTTGCTTTGCGTATCTGGGTTGGTTTGTGGATTTTCTTTAATGTTTTACTGGGTCTTTTGATGGGTGTATACCATCAGGGAGGAGTTGTCCCAACTCAAGTCTTCTTGAGCAAACAACTAGACGCCACTCATGCTTTTTGGTGGAAAACTTACAGTCCGCCAATTTGGCTACTGAATGGCAAAAATGAAGTGCTCGACACTCATGATCTCATGGGCATCAGAGGAGAGCTCATGATAGAAGAGGTTAGCAAACTAGCAGCTTGTCTTCCAAAATCTGGAGAAGAGTTTACAAAAGCTACCTATCTTATCGCACCCAGATCCGCCACTTTCCTAGATAAATATACGGCAAATCAAACAGATCTGTACTTTGAGGAAATTTTCACATATAAAAAGCATCTCAATCTGGATGATATGGATTTTGGGGATGATGGGTTCTGGAGTACGATCACGAGGGTGATTGGGAGGAGAGGAATTGCGGCATGGAGAGTTACGATGGATTGCCCGGAAGGAACCAAGGACATGGAGGAATCGAGAGATATCTCTGAGAATGGAGAAAGTAGTTAGTTGTGGAGAGCCTATAAATCAACGTTCTTTTGTTTTTGTTTTTGTTTTCAAAATGTGGCTATCTTGACATTCTGCGATGCAGCTCACCTTCATCAGGTTTCGACATTCCGGGGTTTATGGTCTCGGTAAGTACTCTCTCTACCCGTGAGGAACCCTCCTCCCCAGCTACAAAGCCTGACTGAACTAATAAATCATTCAATGTAGACCAGATGTCGAAATACAAACTGTGAATAGCATTGAATGAAAATTGGTAAGCCATCTATGGAGAGAGCCGCATCAAATCTTGCAAATTTGGTGAATTGGTCTTCGTTCTGTTCATTTACTTCCATAACGTTTTGTTTTACGGTTATGGTAGTGGTGGTTCATTGGATGCCATACGCTTGCCTAGTGAATTGGAAACTTGGCCCGTACCATGCTTCGTTTTTTATCCATTTATTACTTTCCACATCCCACAGCATCAGAATCTCAGTTCTTCTATGAGATAGTTTGAGAATATTTCAGCAAATTCTACTGTGAAATCTTCAAAATAACTTCGGACAATCAAGCAACCCTTCAGGATGCCACTTCTCGCTCTTTCCAACGAACTTCTCAATGCGATCCTCGAATTCTCTGACTTTAGCGGTTCACGCGAGCTCTGCAAGACTTGCCATCTGCTAAATGAACTTGCCACGCGTTATTTGTATTCTACGATTACCTTCGATGACAAGATTGAAGAAATTTGTCCAAAAGATCCTTGCCACTACCTCTTCCTTCGCACTATAGTCAATCGCCCTGATCTTGCGAAATTCTCAAAAATCTTCCAATGCACATGGTTACTTCGTGCAGAACTCGAAAAGATCTGGAGACTCTTCTATCCCCATCTAGATGATGAATCCGATCCCGCTACCGGCTTATGGACTCTCATTCGAATCAAGGTCAATGAGGCCAGCGCCAGCAGTAAACAAGCAAAACTCTGGCACACAGGTATCTTTGGATTGGGGAATAGCAGGACACCGGGTAGTGACGGTATCTTGGCACTAATTGTCTGTCTTCTCACCAATCTGAAGGAGATTCATATGTCCGAGGGAAATTTTAAGCGTGGTGGAAATGCGGGCACCATTGACCCTACTGCAGAGTTCTTCGCCCCTATGTTTGCGCACGCAGTAGCACTTCAGACAAAACAGAGAGCATTGGAACATGAAATCTCGCCATATTCTATGTCTGAATTGACATTCATGTCAATAAAGAACATTTCGCATGATCATGTACCACTTTCAAAGATTGTACAGCGTCTTGAATTGCCATCACTCAAAAAGTTCGTCGTTCAAGATGCCTATGACCTTTTCCCGAAAGCTCCCTTCAGCATTCCAGAAACATTTACTTCTCGAGTCCAGGACCTGCAATTTGAGCGTAGTGTGTTCCACCCTGAAAATTTGAGAAGACTCCTGAGCGCTTGTCCGTCACTTCGCAGGTTTGCGTTAGAGCACTCCAGCATCAGCGCCCCGTTTTGTTCCACTGAGATGATTAACGGTTTGATGGCCAGTAAGGAGACACTCGAATTCATTGAAGCTGGAGTGGCAAGTGAATACATACGCCCCCATTTGGTTGATACTGGATCCTTCGGTCGACCTGGTTCATTTGCAAACTTTCCAAAATTAAAGGAGATTGTTGTCAGCGCTGGAGTTATCCTTGATGACTCAATAAATAAGAACACATCTGCAGAAACAGACAGCGGTGACGATACTGACGCTGATCACACAAGAGCCTTTTTACAACGCATCCCTCGAAGTCTCCAAAATCTCACATTGAAAGACTGCTACTCTTTTGATCACACGACATTTACGGCAGTGTTGGCATTGGTCAGAGAGAAGGAAAGATATGCTCCAGATCTCAAGTACATCAGCTTGACGTGGCGCGGTATTCACTCTTCAGAACATCGTCTGGGCAAAAATGATTTGATCAAGGCATGCAAGGAAGCAGGAATTGAATTGGGAGTATATTTCAAACATTACTATTTGTAATAGGTAATCAATAAAGCATCAGGGAGTTACATACGGTATTTGCATTTTTCCCGGAATATAATGTCGATTTGATCATGGCACCAGCAGAGATAGATGGGAGTTTAGCTTATGGAATCTCTCCATCAATTTTGAACAAATGCGAAGGACTCTTCACTGCTAAGATGCTCTCAAGGTCTGCATGTATGTAACAAACACAATAAAATTAATTGTCAAAACTTCAGCAATGAGAATCTCATGCAATATTTCATATGTGTTTGTACCATAAGCACCCCGTCACTAAATCATCTTTTGGCCGCCCTTTCGCGACCGCTACTTTGACAGGAAGCTAGATAACTGGATCGTGGGTAGCCTTTTACTTGTATGAGAGTATGAGTTTCTACCAGAATTAGCTTCTTCCATTATCTGTATGAACTTTTTTCTCTTCACAAACTTTTCAACATCAATATCAGAATAGAGAATATCTGTTTACATACAATTTCACGTGAGTCTAGACCAACAATTATATAAACCTTCCTTACCCATGAAAGCCTCGGCTCATGCGGTAAAACACCCGCCTCCACCCCGCATTACGCTAATTCCCCATACTTTTTGATACTTAGGACTTTTCAATTATTCCGTATAGCCTCCACATATTTTTGTAGTTTCATAATAACAACTTCCTAGAATACTCAGATCACGAATTATTGATTCCTGTTCCCAAAAATGTCTTCCTCAGTTCCAATCCCCTTCTCTGAGCCTCCTTGGCTCATGGGTTTACCATCTCCATATTACAATGCTTCACATCGCAAATGGCAAAAAACATGTCAAGCGCTTGTTTCCGAATTACTGGGTGAAGCAGGTGATTGGGAAAAAGAAGGAGATGTACCCGGTACACAATACTCATCCTGAAATCTCCAATTACACATCTCAACTATAAATCTTCAACCAAAATGAACACTAACACATCCAGTTAATCTCTACCAAAAGTTCGCCCGCGCCAACTTCCTCATCCCCAACCTTCCCTCTCCGCTCCCAGTAAAATGGCTCAAAGAAATCGGTATCACACATCTCCCTGGCGATCTCCCAGTTGATGAATTCGACTACATGCACACCCTAATCTTCACGGATGAAATGCATCGTTCAGGGTCCCTCGGCCCCTCCGGCGCCATCACCACCGGATTCGCCTTCGGGGTTCCCCCTATCTTAAAATTCGGCTCCCAAGCCCTGCAAGCTCGTTTCCTCCCGGATCTCCTCACCGGCAAAAAAAGAATCTGTATAGCGATCACCGAACCCGGCGCCGGAAGCGACGTCAGCGCGATCGAAACCACCGCGCGCAAAAGCGATGATGGGACAGAGTGGATCGTCGACGGGACCAAAAAATGGATCACCAATGGTCTCTGGTCTGATTACGCTACCATGGCTGTGAGGACGGGTGGACCGGGCCCAGGCGGTCTTTCGCTTCTGGTTGTACCTTTACTACAGTATCCGGGAGTGACGATGCGCAGGATAAAGGTGGGTGGACAGACGGCTGCGGGGACGACATTTATCGAGCTGGATAATGTGAGGGTGCCGCGGGAGAATTTGATTGGAATCGAAGGAGAGGGTATGAAATACATTATGCAGAATTTCAACCACGAGCGACTGAGTATATCGATTTCGGTCAATCGGATTGCGCGCACGGCGCTGAGCCAAGCGTTTGCATACGTGATGAAGCGGAAAGCGTTTGGGAAACAGCTGATGGAGCAACCGGTTGTGAGAAATCGCTTGGCGAGATGTGGTGCGGAGCTCGAGAGTCACTGGGCGTGGATCGAAGGGTTTACGTGGATGATGACGCGCTTGGGAGAGGAGGATGCGAATCGTGAGCTGGGGGGCTTGACGGCGTTGGCGAAGGCAAAGGCGGGGATGGTGTTGGAGAGTTGTGCGTCGACCGCGGTGTTGCTTTTGGGCGGGAATGGGTATACGAAGAGTGGAATGGGGGAGGTGGTGGAACGTTTGTTATTCCTTTTTCTTGCTCTTTGCCTTCCTTTTCACTCAGTTTTAACCCCTCATCTTCCCTCTATTCGCATTCTCCAACTCCCTCAACCCCTCCCCCAAAACTAACATCCCCCTCCCCAGGAATCTTCCGCGAAATCCCCGGCGCCCGTATCCCCGGCGGCAGCGAGGATGTCATGCTCGATCTGTCCATCCGGCAACTAGTCAAGAATTACCAATTGAAGATGAAGAATGAACTTGAGAAAGCGGGGTTGGAAAGACCGGGGGGAGGATCGAAATTGTGAGGTGGGTGTTGGTTTTATGAGGGGGGTTTATGACGGATGGGGAGGAGGTGGGGGGGTCGGATTGAATCGTGAGGATGAATGAAGGGATGTGAGTGATGAAGCGGTTCACATGGTAATTATGATAGGTATATTGAAGAGCTTTTATATATACGGATTCGAATGTTGTATCATTATATCCAGTAGAAGATATAATACGTTATGATACATACATATCCATAATCCCACACCAAAGCTTCTTCCTCTCTTCCCCATACTAATAAATCAATTCAATTCACCCAGAACAGACCAGATAAAATCAGAAACATTTACCAACTCATTGCTCATCACTCATCGCTCATTTCAAAGTCATCATCATTATCATCATTATCATCATCATCATTATATTAGCAACCTCAATTCCAACCACAGCTCCACATCAACTCAACCATCTATCTATCTCATGAATAACAACAAAACCACCACCTCACTCAAACACCAATACCAATACCAATGCGCGTCACATCATATCATTCGTATTCGAGGGTATATAATTATTTAATCAATCCAACAATCCAACAAACAATCGTACATATATTTCTTCATCTTCTTCTTTGTTGACAAAAATACTATATTCATCACTCTCATCATCATTATTATCATACATATGGATGCGCGCGCAGAATCTTTGTCTTTGTCTAGCTTCATTGTTTGATGAAGCTAGACAGACGATGATTATCTTTCCTCCTGGTTATGTTTTTGGGGTTTGTGTTTTGTGCTTGTGCTTGTGTTTCTTCTTCTTTTGATTGCTTTGGTGTGGTTTGGGTGCTTGTTTCGTTTTCGAATTTGTGGGAGTTGGATATCGTATCTGGTATATTTCGAATCGGGGGTGGGTATCTCGTGATTAATGTTTGCGTGTTGGGCGGAAAAGTAAAATCTCGTGGAAGGTGACAGTGCAGTTTGATTCAAATAGCCACTCTCTCGTCATCGGTCGAAATATCTCAAATTGGGTTATGCATCGGCGGTAATGTATCCCCATGTAATCTCGGTGTTCTCTCCAATTCCCCTCCCCTTCCCCTCACAGTACCCTCATCACTTCCACTCGCACCCACTGTGCTAGTTCCCGCGCTCGTGGCTGTGCCCAATCCCCTCTTCATCATCTTCCCCAGTATACTTACCAATTCTGCCGCATCTTCAAACATATCATCATCCATTCCCTCATCTGCGTTATAGACTTCATTAATTGTCTTCCGGGCCAATTCTCTCGACCGATTCGCTTCATCCAGACAATCATATATAAATGCAGTATATTCGACTTTTACAGATAGACGCAGAGGGTGAGAACCCCATAGTTGGCGATCAGCAAGGATGGATGCGTCTTCGAAACACTGGGTTGCGAAGGGACGGTAATCGAGAGCGGGGATGAGGAAACTTCCTGTGATATCTGGTGGGAGAGAGAGACCGGGTGGTCCGCCGACGGGTCCGCCTTCGAGAGCGTGGGTTAGTTGAATGCTGGATGGACGATGTGGGTCGGGTGGTAGGGTATTGTCGATCCCTTTGCCTTTTTCTTTATAGCGCGGAGATGTCAAACCAGGTGGTGTAGAGATCTTGGGAGTCCTGAGAGTGATCGCAGGGGTATTGTGGAAGAGAACATAGAGATGATAATAACTCGCTCTCAGTTTATAAACGAGGACTCTTAACTCTCCGAAACCTGCCACTAAAGGTAGAACGTATTGTTCTAGAATTTTCAAACCTTCTTTTGCGTACCAAATGATTCGAGTATATAGTTCGACGGATTTCGTATCACGGGTTGTGTCGAGTCGTCTGAGTTTTCGCGCTTTCACAACCATCTTGGAGAGCATGGTGAGATTTCCCAAAATCTGAAATAGATTTTGAGCCAGCAGTGGGTGGTCCAATTGAATATTTTTGGCAAATTGGCCAAGGAACTTTGTGTCGACCTCTGAGGATGCCATTGTGATGATTGGTGAATGTGAAATGGCGTGGAAGTGGACGTGAAAATTTGTACAAAAGATTAAGAGGGGAAAGCAGAGGCTCTTGATGAAGAGGCTGACGATAGAATCAATTGCTGGATTGTGAATCTGCTCGATATAGTATTGGTTGCGTGATGCAAGAGAGCGCGTCGCCGCGAAAAAATTAAGAGCAGTATAAAGGACCAATTAACCAGAACCAGTGATAGGATCTTCTGGTGGACTCGTATATAGAGAGGATAAATCCAGCAAAGATTTCGACGACGCGATCCTGTGATGTATCCAACAAGGTCTTGCAAAATTCGACAGTGAGCGTGATTCAAATGACTTGAAATAATTCGAATTCACTTCAGCAACCCCAACTAAACAAAAATCCTTCAGACCACCTCCTTTCAATAAACGTCCTTCCAGTCCAATCTTCACAATGTTCTAGTCGCTCCTGTATTCGAGTGCGTCCAAATGCTTTGATTGTGTGTGGACAAGGCGCAAAATAAAATTTGAATATCGTGGAGAATTGAAGAGTGTGAAGAAGATCGATTCGCCCAGCCGAGTGAATCAATTAAAGATAGAGAATCGAAAGGACCGAATAACCTGATTGAATTATTTCTCTCGTCTTTACTCCTTGAGAGGGCAATTTTGAATTGAATTAGTATATTCCCCAACGTCGAATGAATCAATCAACGACGATATCCACATTACACACAAAAAGTATACTACAACTCGTCAGAACAAAAGATTCTCAACCAAACAAATACTCCCAAAACGACAGGAGTACATCAATTCAAACAATTGACCCATTCACTGACCAGATATAATACAATTAAGTTCTCACTGATGTGAAGCAATAAGGACCTGGTAGCCAATTGCAAGTGTACTTGGCCTTCCCAGGAGTAGGCTCAACACACGAATCAATCACCGAGAACCCTTTAATCCTTCAAGAGAGAGATTGGAATGAGTACAAAACATTTCGACTCCCTTTTCAATGGGCGCAATTGCACCTGAAACAAAATTTCTTTGTACACGAGAGGCGGTGACCGATGGACGTCTCTCAGATGTGTTTTGTACAGATGATATTCTGGAGAGGGGGTTGAGGAGAAATGTTGCAAGGAAGCTTTCGTATGTTGACGTGGGAGAACAACGGCAAAAAGGAAAACCAGAAAAAATAAATAAACGTTTCTGTGTACGGAGTACTCGAATTGAATCGATCAAAAGGATAGGGAATTGCTGTTCCCAATTGAAAATGAGCGTATACAAGAAAGAAAAATCAAGAAGGAGCTTGTGTTTTTAGGAACAAAACAACATTCTAGGAGATTGGAATTCTTGCAAGATCTAGAAAGTTGGAAGAGATGCAGAAAACGCGAGCTGGAAAAAGATCAAGAAAGAGGTTTTGATGATGGAAGCTACGCTACCTCTTCTTCTCTTTTAGAATGGAAATGTAAGTAATATGCAACACCCCGACACACTTAAACACTTGGAATTATCGCTCCCCCGTCGTGCAGCAATGTAGTTGGAGGGTTTAATGCACAAGCTACGATCTTTTAGATGCGGAACGCCTGTACTTGCATATTTTGGCGTTGGATGGAGCGACCTGCAAAGATACGTGGCAGCACAGATCGAGTGGGAAGTGAGAAGTGAGGAGCATTTTGGGGAAGATTAGAGGGAAATGGAACGGAGAAAGGCTGATATCTTGGTAAGAAGCTAGAGAGTTCCCGTTTGATACGATGGACACGACAGGCTGGTAGAATGATTGCGGTACGGCATTTTGGTATTGGTGCGTATATGAAGGATATGTATGATGGATTAATGGATTAATGTATATTCAGAATATTCCAATGTATTAGTTTTATTATGTATTAGTTTTATTACTGTGGAAGATAATTATGGTTGTGATTATGCTTTGAGTATGTGTATATGTAGTGGGGCAACCTCGGTTATGAAGGGTTGATTTGACAATAACAATTCTTGAAATGCCAACAGAAGAAGTTATCAAGAAGCTACAAAGCTACATTGAAGAGGAACAACCAGTACTGTGTATCCTCACGTTTATTGAGACGATTCCGAGAAAGCATCTACGGCCAATAATGAAACCATCAGTCTCTTTTGCGAGCCCTCTACCTTATATCATCTATCACAAATTTCTATGAATAGCCATCTAGCCATCTAACTCCAATATAGAAAGAGAACAGAACCTAGATACTGCACTCATTCATCTCCATGGGTTCACCTGCAAGGAACTGAATCTCCAAAAAAAGAACCTTCTACAAGATGACAAGCAACAAGCTACAAGCTATCTATACATACAAATAGCCATCATAATTCCAGACCAATAGCAACCAACAGATCTAGGAGCTTCAAGGTACTAGGTAGCCATAAATAGTACAGATGAAGCTTGCTCTTTCACCATTTGGATATTAATCGTTGGGATGGAAATTCTCCGACTGGCTTCATCACTTTATGCATATGCAAGTTAGAGATTTGGAGTTTAGCTAAATAGAAGATGAAGCTAATGCCCCCCCCCCTTCACCGCTCTTACTGGATAGCAGGAGGCATTACGCATTTATATTTATCAGGATTTACTATGTACCTAGTATGCTATCCATCTTCTCAATCTAGGTACCTCGAGAACAACATCAATTGTCCAATGAAAAATCATCATAAAATTCACAAACAGTTATGAATAAATAAGAGGCACCTGTCTTTCATGTGATATCCAATTATTCCATCTTTTGTACAGTATTCATCATTTCATCATTTCATTATCCACTCTGTGGTGCCAACACATTCATTCCCTCCAGCACCAGCACACGATTCACAATTCTATCCATGAAATATGCAGCCACCCTTTTCACAACCAGGAAAAAAAAAACCTCATCCTATTCCTCATCACTCAACCACTCAAAAGGGAAAAAGCGGTGTAGATCCACTCTTCAGAGAGGAAATTACGCGAGTTTCAGGTTCGCGCAAGGTTCCGAATGAGGTTCTAGATAATGCTGGCTGCTTTCTTTCGGACTGCTTTTGGTAGATGGGTTTTTGGGGGGAAGGGAACTTGCATGAAATTACCTCGCTACTCCTATTTTCTTGACTCCTTTTTCTTGGGCGAGGAGAAAGAATTGGTTTGTTGATTTATTGATTGGGATTTTTTGTTATGTATGGAGAGCGTATCTACTCTGATGAGGCTGGGTATACTCTCCAGTGAAGAAAGCTCATTAGTCCGTTCCGTTTGCTCTGTCACCTTTCTGCAGCTCTCTTCTTCACATCTCCCAAAGAGAACCCAAGCAAACAAACTATCTAGACCAAATAATCCGATTGAAATATTTCTTTCTTCATCGGCAAGTAGCCGTTCTTTGGTCCTCGAATAGCATGTATCCTACAGTGAGAGGGAGGCTCCACAGCCCCCAATCCTTCTTCAACAAAGCTCATTCATCCAATCTTTCTCGTTCCTGTCTCTTGAAAAACATACGTTTGTGCAACCCGCCGATCAGATATGCTTCTGGCCCAAAACATACGTGCATACATATCTACAAACATGACTGCAAGTAGCAAATTCTTCTTCAGGCAAAAGCACGACAATTGAGAGGTCTTGAAACAACCAGCAAGGTTCTCACACATGAAATGATATCTCGGTTCTGAATTATATGAAGGTGCTGCATATGATGTGGTATGACATGATATAATGGACAAACCTCGGAAGATATCAAGTAATCTTGAAATGATATTTAATCGCGAGAGTATGCTTCCAGAGAGAGTTTTGTGGAAGCGCAAGCTAGGTTGTATACATGCAGATAAGCATACCGGAAGCTCTGGATATACTATTACTGCTACTACTATACACCTCGTGATTTCTACCCCTCGGGAAAGTCACTCACCTATATGCATATATTTCCCATCCGACACCAGATACTTACTATAACTTGGAATCGGCCAAAGATTGAATTGTACGAGTGAGAACTTCTTCGCGTGTTATCAATCGCATCAATCGATCACTTCATCTCTCGACTCAAAATGTGTTACTAGTAAGCCTTCCCCCTTCTCCCTCTACTCATTCCCCATCCCCCTAAATAAACTAACCCCCTCCCTCCCCCCTAGCTACCAATACCACTACACCTGCCCCCACACCCTCCAAGTCCTGGCCAAACTCTGTCCGCTCGCCGTCTACACGCAAACCGCATGCGCTGGAATCACTATCTGGCATGTGATATGGGTACGAGGAAATTGTCAGGAGTGTTTTGTTTTGTTGAGGTCAGGTGAGGTAGGATGGAGGCGTGGGTGAGGGGTGAGAGGTGAGTGTGAGTGTGAGTATGGAGAGAAGTGGGAGGGCTGAGGGCTAAAAAATGAGGAGCAAAATTATTAGGAGATTATTGAGGGAGGGGGAAGAAATGGAGGGATAGAGGGAAAAGGGAGAAGGAGATGTGGATTGGGAGGGAGAAGATGAGATGAAACCAGAGTGATTGTAATGGAGATTGTAGAATCAATGGTATAACTCGGGTGAAAAGACTGATTCTTCATCCAATGAAAAAGTTCATTCAATCGGCCGAAAAACAAAATCTCGGGGGTAAAATCACAAAACTGCGATGGAATTCATTTAAGCTACGAGGGACAGGAGGTGGAAAGTATATGCAAAATGTTCGCTGAAATTCTTCATTTAACAGTCACACAAATCTTAATGTTTCACTGAATTACTGGTGTTTTCTTTGTCATTAATATCTTAAGTCTCGAGTCTCTAAGATTAGGATTTGAAAGTTTTTACATCTACCTGCTTGTTTGAACCCCTCTCCTCTAATGTAACATCATTTCAGTTATATCTTTTCAACTATTACATTTTTGATTGTGATAAATTTGGAACTTATCACAGAGCATGATGTGCGTAGAGAGATTGTGTAAAAAAAGATTGAGAGCTGAGTGTCTAGTTATTGATGCCTGCCATTTTCTAATCCCAACGTATTCAACGCCAGATACTAATTCTCCGATGCTATAAAACAATTCCAGTCTAATATAAATACACATATCCATCTACATATACATGCCATACTCTATAGTATCCCAACGCCATAATGCCGGCCCCATCACAAAAAACAAGCCTGATAGAATGCGTGTCAATAATTCAAAGAGAAAGGCAAAGCTGTTCCCTTTCTCCCCCCCAACTCAAAAAGCTCTCTGCGTCAACGTAACAGAGAAATCCCATACCCTCATTCTATCACTGCAGTAAATTCACCATATCATCCCGTCCTAGCATTACTCCCGGAAGCCATAAACGCCATCCAATCACCCATCGCATCAGGCGGCGAACATTCCCCTGGTCTAAAATCCGCCATTGAGGTAGGAAGTTGGCCACAAAGCCCTTGAATCGACGGTATGATATGTGTGAATGAGATATTTATACCATTGAGCATTGTCTGATCGGAACTCGAAACTCCAGAAACAATTCGTAGGTGCCACTTCTTTATTTCCTGGCATGGGAGCTTCATTTTCCAGATACTGTTTCGCTGAGCTTGGCCATTATTGTATACGAGAAGGCTTTCGAGTTTTTCCTCGATGGAATCAAGGTAGTAGCGGAGGTTTGCGGCTTGGCGGACCTGGTCAGTGTCGAGGGATGGGGAATCGCAGTTTTCGGTGAATTTCCCAAGGACGAGGAGGGCGTAGAATAATTCTATGTAGTTTGGTGCGGTAAGAGAGCAGAACTCTATGGGAGTGAGAGATAACACCATATCGAGATAATCCTTCGCAGCCTGTAGACAACGAATCAACATTTCTGTTCTTGAGGAAGAATGATACCAGGAGGTTCGGTTTGATGACGCAGTTGTCATAGATTGATGTGAGTCCGATGAACTGGCGTTAAGACTGATTTCCGCAACATATATACGGAGATGTGCATACGATATTCTCAGTATGTCTATATATGTCAATACAATTCAAATCCGCAATATAAGAGAAACCACTCACGATTGCTCCAAGCTTCGGCAGGAAAGTATCTTTGGATATCCTGGAATTGTTGAGACAAAGTTCTATTGAACATCTCAATTCGTACGGAATCAAGCTTATCAAGCTCTCCATGATTGGAATAATCAAAGGCGTCGTTAACCTCTTCACCAAGTCGATGAATTCTTGTGAAAAACGGCAACAGTCTATCTGTCTCGGTTACGCTGACCTCCGATAATACTTGGCAACATTGTTCAATATAGTCGTGATACTTCAGACTATTGGGTTTCCTCAGACTGCGGCAAATTCTACAGTAGTATCAGTTACCATCCAATCCGCATGAAAACTGGAGACTTACGATGATGTCAGACAAAAACATCCAATGACAGTCCTTTTTTCCTCTATCTGAGCTGGGGTGAATTTTTTGGGGCATTCAAAGCCAAGAGTGCTTGAATAGCTCGTTTGTACTTCACCAAACTTTGGTCTGTGAAGCCCAAGATCAATCAACATAGCATTTGCCATTTGGGTAAGCTGGAATAGATTCTCTTTTTCTGGATTATAGTGATAGTGATACCTAGACTGGTTAGACCAAACCGCTTTTGTAACTGCGTAAAAAGATATTATATCTTACCAAGCGAGGTACAATAGTATTCCTTGTAGCAAATCGATACTCTTCTCCCCGTGTATGATTATACGGCTGCTGATTGTTTCACGTAGCTCACTTTCAAAAAGATGTTGCACGGGGATATTGTTTTGACTTGTACTCGCAAGAATTCCAAGCAAAAGAATGGGTCGTTCATGCCTCAAGCTTTCTAGAGAGGCTTGCGGAGGAAGAAGTACAAACGGAAAGGCTGAAGCTCTACTAGCAAACTCCTTCAGTGCCTCCTCAGCCTGTTTGGTACTGATTATGCACCTCGAAATGACATCATTCAAGCCACCGTAACTAAGATTTGGAGGTGTAGACAAAGACATGTGTTGGAATGGTTTGGTACTCGTGTTCTCCAATGGTAGTAACGGAAAAGAAAGCTCGAACATCTCTGATAGATCCAACGACATATTTTCTTGGGGAGATTCAGGTGTTGAGATTGAATTAGGCTGAGAACCTGCTTGAGATTTGGCTGCCAATAGATTCAAAATCCCATCAAGCTTTTGCTCCATCTCTGCAACTCGCCTGATTACTGGTCAGCGTTGGAGTTTCCAATGAACAGAATAAAAACTTGCACTCTAGAAGATCTCATCTTCTTAGGTCGAGGTTTCGTTTCCAAGAACACACATTTCTTCTTACTTTTCAAACACCTACAGGTATGTTAATAGGTTTCAGATTCCCGTGATTTACAAGTGACTGACTTTGCGCATCGAGTAGGATCATCTTTACTTGGTAAACATCTACCTTTGGATGTCCTGCATGCTTCACATGAGCGCCTCAATTTAGTAGGAACCGGTGTGTCGCTATCAACACTAGCGGAAGGCTCGGAATCCGGAAGGTTCATGTTGGTCTTCAACTACACAAAAGGTTGAATGAAAGAATTGTAGACAGTTTCGTGAGCAGCGGAATGTCTACTCATGCCGTTAGCAATGAGATTGATGCTGAATTTGAGAAGAAAAGCCATTCCAGGGTGAACATGCATCTTTTACCGTTCGAGGTTGAAGAATGTCGGAATGAGATAAAGATCCGTGATTCCGGGCGCTAGCTGCATGAGGAAAAACTGGGGATTGATATGTCAGCGATTGCCGGGAAACATCCCCTCGAAAGGTTTTGAGTTGTATCAAATGTTTCTCATCATTCTAGAATTTAATGCCATTAATTCTTGGCCGGGTGACGTATATCTCGACGTATTACTCAAACAGATCAGAGAAATAAATAGAGTAGTATATTCCTATTCTACTTCATCTTGCTCTTGCTCAACTTGCTCTAATCCACGAACGCCTAAAATCCAACGACCTGAGGGTATTAAGTTCGCATAAATTCATAGATCTAGATATATAGCATGCTTTTTGACACGTAAAGAATCAGTTCAACTTTCCATCATCTGCAACATCTGCACTGTCCGTACCCATATTTCTCGCCCCGGTCGTCGATTGATCTAATTGCATGTCATTCATTGCCGCCATTCTCTCATCGACAGTCAATTCACTCTCTGCTCTCTTGATTTTGACAAAGAGTGCCATTATTATCAATGAAACACCCGCACAAGCAACTTCGAACCAAAATACTGCGTGGTAACTTTGCCTCAGGCCCAGACGATCTAAGGTGTAAGTGTTGATGATATCGGAAAATCCAAGACAAACCGCAATACCCAAATGTAGAATGAGCATCACCATGGAGCCAGCAAGACCTTGCTGTGATTCTGATAGGGAAGTAGTAAAGAATATGTTAGCCACTGTGAATGTTATGTCGATACCAATTGTTGCACATATCATGGCAGGGAATATATATGCCCACTGTATAATTTGTCAGCGTCTGATTAAGAAATATCTGGAGAAAGCTTACATAATTGGCGCCTGCTGGAGCAATGGCAAATAGCAAAGGTGCAACGATCCAGGCTACTCCAGCTGTGACAATAAGGGCTGTTCCTGGTAGTAGGTGGAGAACAAAGCCACCAAGTGTAGAAATTATGCAGCCGCCTAAAGCCATTGGTGCATACCACGCAACAAGCTGTAACGGGGTACCACCCATGACACCAGTCATGTAGAATGTGGCATAAAGCAAGAATATTCCCAGAGAACCGTAGCACAAGAAAAGTGCAAAGACAAGCGGTACCATGGAGGGGACTTTGAAAAAAGAGCTCGGAATCAAGGCTTGCTTGGTGTGGATCTCGATGTATGCAGCGGCAAAAAGCAACAAGCTCCCGACAATGAATAAAACGTAGATATAGGGCGTCTTCCAGCCACTCGGTGCGTGGGCCGAATCGATGATGGCGAAGGTAAAGAGGATCAGTCCCACGACAATGAAAACTGCACCCCACCAATCCATTCTCACTTGATCGTCCGTTCCCTGGCGTGCGTCGCGAACTTTCCGCTTTTTGGCAATATCAGAAGGAATCGTCATGTAAGACGTGATAGCTGTGATGACTGCAAAGACGCAGCCAATCCAGAACCACCAACCCCAATGTGTGTACTCAGCTACCAATCCAGCGAAGAAGATTCCCACGAAAAATCCCAGCGGCGCACATGCTCCATAAATTGCGAAAACCAAGTTCTTCCGTGGGCCTGGTCGATATATGATGCCGATAAGAGCTACACTTGAAGGTAGATACATCGCTGGACCCAGGCCTTGTAATGCCCGACAGAAATTGAGCATTATAAGATCAGTTGAAAATCCACCTACCAGGCTCCACAAAGCAAGCCAAATGAAACCTGCTACATATGCTGGAAATGATCCATACATATCTGATAAGCGGCCAAACACCAGAAGAAAGCAAGCAAGAGTGAGCGAAAAAGCGCTAGCAGGCCATGTCGCTGAGGCCGATGGTATTCCTAGACTGTCTACCAGAGTGGGTAGTATTACTGTGAAACCAGAAACAAAGTATTCCTTTTCCACTGTCAGAGTCTGTGAATTGAACCAAAAAATGAAGAAGATTGATAGAACTCACGGTGAGCACCTGTGACATTGAAATCGAAAATACAAATCCAATCTCCGCCCATAGTGACTTGAAGACCTCTGGCCTTTGTCTACCTAGCCTTTCAATCCTTACCTCCGGAGCTTCTTCTAACGAATCTCCCAAAGGCGAAAAAGAGTGGGGGTTGTCATTGCTGTTTTGCCTGGTGTGCCCGGAGGTTTGACGTTCACCTTCCATTGAGGTCTCAAGATCCCCAACAGAGCCACCGTTTCTTTGATCCATTACTATATTATCGGAATTCAAATTTATTTATGTGAGGCTTATTTTAGATAACCTGATGAGCACCTTCACTGAGCTTTTCTTGTTTCTTCGCCACCAATGTGATAGTGGTCAAAGCACTCCAACGGATCCGTAATTGGGTTTGTGAAATTCTGGTATATGTAAGGACGAGAGGGAAGATATGTTTTTCTTCTCGATATCCATTTATTGTCGTGGGTAACTGAACTGGAAACTCAAAAGATCGTGGGTATATGGGATGATAACTTATCGTCAGATTCCTCCAAAAAATAGCACTGTGCAGAATCCTGATGTTAAAAATAATATGCCGTGTTAAAAGAAAGGAAATCAAATATGGTGTGCTTGTACAAGAGGCGTGCGTCGTCGAAATAAAGGGCGTCACATCAAGCCCCTACACCGGAAATATGTATGTGTATATGTAGTTTTTACTAATAAGTCGATCGGCCCAAAAGCCATTAGTAACCCAAGTTCACCGATTCACTGGACAGTGAGGGAAGGCAAAAAAGGAAATGGATCTAAGCGATCATGTCACCCAATCCATGCAATACCTCATGCCTGAAATGAGTAATTGATATGGCGGATTCGATGGCGCTAGACAATTGATCGTAATAAAAAAAACTAAAATCCCCAGAACTTCCAGATTGAAAAGTAGTAAAAGCAGATGGTAATATATAGCCAAGACAAATTTGCTAATGAGGAACCCGGGTGCTGTGTACCGATTATTTGTCGTGGAACCAAAAGAGGGGGGTTTGAGTACTACTTGGGTCTATTGAATGGATGGTATTTGCTTATTCCGCAGGAACTCCGTAAGAACTCCGCAGGAGAATTCTTTGGATGCCTTTGTACTCGGGTGTACATACCCAATTTCACCTAAAGGCCAAATCCACGAGTCAAACCAATCAGAGAGCGACTGAGCATACTCTGTTACCACAAGGCACAAAGAAGCTGTAGGAAGGTTTGAACCATGCTCGTTTGTTGGCTTTGCGATGGCCTAATCGAAACTCTATGAAGAGCTATGGATGGAATAGAGAGATCCTGACCAAATACTGAGATGAATTGCACAACGAAAGAACGGATAATAGCATACTATGTCAAAGCAGGTGTCCACTGACAGATGGAGCATCACCGCTGACCATTATCGTGATGCAGAAACGAAAAGTAGAGGATAAATAAGTTGAAAGAGCTGGGAAAGCTTGCGTAACATTTTGGAAGAATTGATGCAGCTCGGCATACTTTTGGTATTGACATGGAGTTTGTTTGGGGTTGGAGCTCCAGACAATTGAGACTCATTGACACTACTAGGTAGGTATAGGTATTTGACAGGCAGTTGTCTGAGTTTTCAGTATATGGAGAAACCTCTCACTCGGGACTCGGAATAGGATGATGACGTGAATGCCTGCCTGTGTATGAGGCTGATCTGTACTTTTTGCTTGTGATTCGGAAAAAATGTGTTTGAGGACAAAAAACGATATCTTGGAGTTACACAGGTCGGCGCACATAAAACGTGATACCAGAGTCACAGGAGTTGAACGGATCACGTGTAATGTTCATTGAGCAAACAGGGCAAAATGCACCCTAAAGCGCGCTAAAGAAGCTAACGAATTTTTTTTCAATATAAATATCTCGCTCACCTCCCGGAATCCCTTCTCTTTTCTTCTTCATCATCAGTAGAGGTTATAATTAATACTTATAACATTTACATGGGGGCTTCGCTACGGCGACTTGCTGAGGGTTATCCTTTACTTCTTCGAAGTAAAAGTTGGGTTTTCTTCCGTTCCCGGCCCCCTTGAATGAAGGTGAACACTCTTCCTTATCAGCCGTCTTCGACGATTCTATCGGATTTTGACTGTGGGGTGGTCTCTACATACTTTACTTTGTGCATTTGCTTTTGTGAAAACAAAGTGTGCATTGAATAACGATGTTGCAAAATGGATTTTTATGGTGAATCCATTTGCTCTGTGTGCTTGTAATATAGCCTACATATATACATGCACATGGCTTTATGGCTGCCGTGTGGTTTTGGTGAGTATTATGGTAGATAGTAAATTTCCGTAGTAGAAAGTCTTGTGTGCAAAAGTGATGAATTTTCGAAGTTGTGTACTACGAACATTTCTGCTGTGTTTGCCGTGTACTAAGCTCTTTGTCCTTGGTTCCCTGATAGCAAAAAGCAATCATGAATCATGCTGCCAAACATACAAGCTTAAGAACATGTGGTACTCCCTAATGAATAGGTAGCCATTGCATGTTCTTCATACACTAGAGCCAAGGAACTGGAATTTCAAATTCAGCACGTTTGCTATGCATTATACTCTTTCAAGGATCTCTTTCGTGCAATGGTAGTTAGTTGTGTTGGATTTACTGCTGTCGCAAGTTGTACGTTGGGACTCGAAAATGAGCTCTGAAAATGTGGTAGTAAGATTTGCAGAGCAAGCAATTAAGTGTGCACGCGGATGCGTGCGACGGAATATAAAAGAAGCTGCGTGTAGTCAAATATTAACATAGTCACAGTTACAATCACAATAAATATATTCGAAGATTCTTTTTACATCATCCCAAATCTATATATCACTTGGTGAAATAAAAATATGATTGGCTGTAGAACGTTCATTGCTTGTATTCAGAGTTTTTTTTTTCACTTAGCTACTCGCAATAATCCCACCACATACCACTTGCTCAATGAAGAGAAGGGTAATCTAGTAGAGGCGCTTGGGTGGAGACATAGATGCCTTGATAGTCAAGCTGCCAACGTTTTGCCATCCCTTCTTCAACAAGGAGACGAGGTAGTTGATAGACAACATGATGTTGGAGATCAATTGGTCCTCAGTCATCTCGACGTTTCCGACAGCAACACCCATACACAAGACCTTCTTCAATTGGAACTTGATGGTGGACTTGACTTCGTTGATCTTACCGCTAAGATCTTCGTTGTGGGAGACTGGGGTTGGGAATTTACCAGCTGTAAAGAGAAATGTTAGTCAATATTATACAATTTTGGGAACAGATAAAACAAACCCTTGGAAAGACCGGGACCCAAGAGACGGGGAATTTGCTTGATCAAGGTGTCGGAAGCGACGAAAGCATCGTACTTGCGTGCGAGCTTCTTGATCAACTTCTTGTTCTTGTTGAGCTTCTTCAAGTCATCAGCGGACATGGCGTCAACACCACCGTGCTTGGCACGATCGATATCGTGTTGATCACCGAGAATGCTATCCATCAATCAGCCTTTGCCTCCCATATCATATATATTCGACTTCGTGGACATACCAGATGCTCATGTTTGGGCGGGGAACGACTGGGAGACGGACGGTTCCGGAGAAACGCTTGTCACGTTGGGGATCATAGTTCTTGAGGCCGATTTGGAGCTCGACGGTCTCGAGGAAGTTTCTCTTCTTGGTCTCGAGAGAGTACTCAAGAAGACTTTGTACGTTGGTACGCACTCCGGCTGTAAGGCGAATACGTTAGTAGTTGTTTCAATTGATTTTCTCAATGGAGAAATTCTTCCTGACGAAATGTGAGGGACAACAACATACCGACTGTGATTTTAGACATGATGACAGTCTTCCAGTAGAATTGATAAAGTTCTAATGGTGAGGTTTGGCGTAGATTTGTCGATAATAAATTTGGAAATCAAAATTTTCGAAATTGCAATATGGTGGGGAAAAAGTTCGGACCTTTTAGCGAGAATTCACGTGCTACACTGTCATCCAATCAAGTACGGCTAACACTACTAAGTAAAGCGAAAGACATTGACTCTAAATGCTTCACCTCCAATTTCTACTCTAATATTCCCAGCTAAGACAACTACCACCCAATACAGTTCATGCCATTACAAGTATATTGAGACTTGAAGTGATCCTGGTGATCAAATATTCGCATTCATAGAGCTTAAGTATGCTCGAATACCCAGTGATCCGAGTGGATAAGCAGCGAATCAATTGACTGGGTTGCTAATTATATTACTGGTGTTACTGGACCACTGGTTCAAAAACGCGCGTGCTCGAATTATCTATTTCATTGCTATGGATTTCAAATGATAGTGTTTGCACTATCAATCCATCACAAGTACAACTCCGACATGCCCATGCACCCCAAAACAAGACAAATCTCCTTCCTGACATCTTTCTTAGCATGAGGTTCAATAGTCCAGATCACTTGCCAGATTTGACATTTCCAAAGCAGTTTTCCAAGAATTTCGATTTTGAAAATGTATTCATGATTAGACCATAGTCCAGATTATTGAAACCACTCATGCTGCCAAGGTTGTAGTGACAGTCTCGCTGATCGTTGAACATCCTACCTCGCAATCTGTGCAAAAATTTGGGTACGCCGTCACTGTGGGCGTAGTAGGGCATAATGTGTTTGGGGCTGGGAAAGTGATTGTGTCAGTCACAGTCTGGATGCACACTGGGCGTGCAGGACAAGAAGTTTCCGATGGACATAAACCTACACATCATAGGTTAGTTCTTTTCACATGTCCAACAATATTACATTTTAAGGTCATATTTCAGCTCTACATACTGGCTGGCGCAATTGTGATGTATGTAAAGCACGAAGTCGACTCCTGGGTTTGGTCAACTTGAGGAGCTGCGAATGCTGCACTGCTAGATTGGAAACGCGAGTTAGTTGGAATATCAACGGTGGTCTGGCTCATACGAAAGGTTGGCTCTCACCTGAGGATCGTTGCCGCTATGAGAGTTTGGAACTTTGCCATTTCGATGTTGGTATCTGATTGAATGTCTGGTTATGGTGGAACGTCCTATGCAAGTCAAATTTTTCGAGTCTTGAAGTGTGTGAGTTATGATGAAGGGATTTTCTGTGGAATAACCCTTTCTTATAGGTACCTCTCTTTCCAATATATGCTAGAAATTCCTCATACATGAGCTGAAGACTTCCCACCCGAAGTGTCTCAGTTGCTACCCGCCTCCTCCTTGTTGGGGGATTCCACCTTGATGTAAATAGCCTGCATAGTGCAATGGATTTACTATAATTTTGGCACCTATCCATAATTGATCCTATGAAGGGGTCTGCACCATGTGCTTATTGATCTCGAGCACGTTCAATCATGAGTATACCAAATTGTTAAGAAGTTCACCTGACAGGTCGATAACAGTTGTATTCATAGGACGGACGATCGACATTGCCACTTCGGGAAAAGATTTACACTGCGGTGTCATCCCCGATTGGTGTGCTCGTTGGCGGTCAGCCTTAACTACTAGATTGAGATAGACATTTGAACTCGTGTCAAGCGCTGGTCTGTTTCGTCTCATATTATACAATTCGGTCATCTGTGTTGTAATTAGCTTTCAGATAATGACTTTACAGGCTGGCAACCCATATCTTCATGCCCCATAGAGAAATTCCCATCTCAAAGCAGTATATACCACGGTCAAGCAGTCGCTCCTTGCCACATCCAGGCCACACTCCTCCAGTCCTCAGAATGAGGATTTGAACGGCGGCTTGTCCAACGGGCTTAACGAAGCCTTTGCTTCACAAAGCACCAGCTCATTGAATCAAAGTCAAAAAATTCTGCCCACCGACTTCACTATTCACGACAGAACAACAGAGGCAGTAGTAATATGCAGTGAACAAAGGGTATCGAGCCAAAGTATCACGCGTTACCAAAAATAGCCCTCTTCCAGGAAGGCAGAAGGTTGATTTCTTCCATCTATGCAGCAAACTAGTAAGTACACTGTTGCCACTTTGAATTCTCGCCAGCTTACTGTCAGCCCTTCTAGGTCTAGTTGTGGCCCAGCCAGCCTTAAAGCCCCCCAAGCTCTATCATTGTTATAAGATAATTTCCCACCGACTACAATATCTCGGATTACCTATAAGTCATTAGAAGACCAAAATCAAATATCAAGCTGACAGAAAATATTTTCGGCTGTCTTGATTCACTCTTGTTTTTGATGGCATAGTATGGCATCACTTGAGCCTCTTTTCTTAGATGATAAGATGCGTTCACTTACCATACCTATGGTATCCAGTTATTCCCCTGGATATTCCATTCGATCTCTTTCCATTAATAACATGCATCCCGTACATTACTCTACATTCAACAACGTCGTCATGTTCTTGAAGTGTCTCGATTTTCCGTGGAAAAATCTCTAGATATTGAAGTGCTCATTCAAATGATGGTCTCGGACAGGCACATTTGTAATCTGATTTGGTAGGTGGTCTCTTGAACTATGTTATACTTCATTCAGCATATCTGAATAGGAGTACTACCAATATGTTAAGTAGCAAAAAAGACCGTCAACAAAGTTTAAGAATATCTGGATCATCGCGCACAGCTTTTCATGACACCAATGAAGTAGTCATCCCAAGTTGTATCCCCGCTTCTTCTCTGTAGACATTCTCTCCTCTTCCTTAATGTTTGACAACCAATTGTTCTATAAAATCATGACTTCCATATATCTCATTTCATAGAAGGTTTATATTTTCTTTCACTCTTGTCTAAAGTTCACTTTTATCACTCTTCACAAGACGCATGGATATTTTTGTTGTCAAAAGCTTCGATCAAAGCTGCTGGTGACCTGGCCGATGTCTTCAGACCACAACAAGACAGCCATACAATCTTAGAATCCAAAATCTCAGGAGCAATTGTTTTTTTTTACCTTTCCTTTCCCACTTCCCTTTTGTCATTCATTTTATTTTCACTCCCAACCACAATAAGAACCATATGCAAAGAAAAGACAAAGGAGACCCGCATTTTGATGCCGGAGAAAATAGCAATCGCAATAATCATCGAGATAACAATTCTTGGGTCAATCTTCGTCGCGCGACTTTTACTCTGCTACATTCACTACAACGAGGTGAATCGAGGAATACTTTTATCCTCTTACTCTTGGCAGTAACAGGTCTTATCTCATCTTCAATCTCAACTAAAATCTAAAATCAGAATTGAAGAAAACAACCACCTAAGTAAAAATCTACAACCGTCAACATGCCGCTACCATCACCAACTACCACTCAATCTCCCCTCACCAGCGCTCTTGCAAAACCAAAAACAAAGGGCAAGATCCACGTCTCCTTCACAGACTGGGTTCTGGGCGGCTCACTCCTCTCCATAAACTCTCCCAGCCCTAATAATGCCGTTGCCGCAGCCACGCGCCAGAGAAATGATAGCCGTATTAGAGCAAGAGCCACGAAGGATAAAAATGGAAGAAACATTGTCATTCTGGAAGATCGGGAACAAGACGGAATGGTGGGAGAAGTGGAAATGCTTGTTGTGAGGAAAGTTAGTAAGAAGAGTGGGCATGAGAGAAGTAGGGGTGGGAGTGCGGGAGAGGTGGTGAGTGTCAAGGCGAAGATTTCAGAGGAGGTATTGGAGACGGTTGTGGAGGAGAGTAAGGAGGAGAAGAAGGCAGAAAGCAAGGAGGAAGTGAAGGATGAGAAGAAGGAAGAAGTGGTTGAGGTTAAGAAAACCGATGGTGATGATAAGGGTGAGCATGTATTGAATTTGCAGAAAGATGGAGAGGTTAAAGAAGAGGGAGTGAAGGTGGTCGAGGAGAAATCTGAGGTGTCGAAGCCAAAGGGTGAAGAGCCCAAAGCTGATGTTACCATCGAAATAGCTGTAGCTTCAATCACCGAAGATCAAGATAAAGACAAGAAAACCGAGCCGGAAGTCGTCATCGTCGAGGTCGAAGTCAGGAAAAAGGAAAAAGAAGATAAAGATAAGGGCAAGGATAAAAAGAAAGATAAAGATGTCAAGGAAACATCCAAAGGCGAGGATAACCCCGAGTCTACTACTAAGCTTGAGGAACGAAGCGCTGATACCACAGTCACAGCCACAGATTCCAAAGAGAAGACCCCTTCTATCTCTGAGGAACCTACCGAAAAGACTGCTGAAGAACCTATCGAGATTAAAGACGACAAGAAGGATGAGAAGGTAGAGCCCGTCGACGAAAATGAATGGACCAAAGAACAAGACTTGAAACTTATGGCCATGAAGAAGGAAAACAAGACCTGGAAGGAAATATCTGGGGAATTATGTACCGGCAAAAAAGAAGTGGTGGCAAGATACAAAGCTTTACAAGAACAAGAAAAGACCGAGGACGAAGAGAAAAAGGCAGAGGTAGAAGAAAAGCCTAAGAATGTCGAGAAGAGAAAGAAAATCAAGTGTACCGCACAAGTCGACAATGAAGATACAGAGGAGGAAATCTACATCTCACCAGATTGTCCTTACCATCAACCCAAATCCAAGACTTCCGCTGCGTCTGCTCCAAAACAAGAAAAGAAGAAGAAGCGCAAGTCTTATGGAGAACTTGATAAAGATAGAGATGATGAGGATGAGGAACAGGAAGAACGTATGCAGGGAAATGGTCATGGAAATCAGCAGGGGCATCTTCGACCGGATAAGATATGGTCAGCGGAAGATTGCGAAACTTTGGAGTATCTGATGGAGAAACATAGGAGTACACAATGGTTACAATTGCAAGCTGGGTTCTTTAATTATACTGGGAGAATGGTTAAGGCTGAGTTTATTGAGAGAAAGTTTAGGAAGGATGGACTTGCTTGATCGCGGGTGGTTGGTAGGCAATGTCTCAAACGGAGATAGATGGAGGTCGATTCTATTTGGTTTGATTTGGGTGGTTTATTTTGGAGGGAAATCCACATTGAGATTGGAATGCGAGTTTTTGATATATTTTTGCATCGATTATTGGTCTTGATGTCGTTTTTACATGATCTAGGGGTGATGTTGAGGAGGGGATGGGGATCAGCTGCCTCATTTTGAAATGCTGAGCATATGGGATATTGAAGATCATTTGTTCATGAGCTTTTTCTTTGTTCAGCATTTCTGACTTAAGGCTTGGTCTCGTGTGCCAGTTCCTGCTTTTAATGGATGGTAATAGGAAGAGCACGAGGCGTTGCGAAAGCTTTGGTTGGTATGGCCAAGATTGGGAGGGTGTAGATGCGTGCACGTTTACTTGGCCAAGAGAATTCCGCAGTTAGAGTACATAGTTTTGAGGTCATGAGACAACTTATTCAGATAGTCATTTTGCAATCTCTGATGCTATTTTGTGTTTTGCAAAAAATTACTTGTGAACTGCAGCTGATTCGAACAACCCCTTGGGATTTCCCATTGCTGGAATCTCCGAAAACATCACAACATACGTCGAAAGGCTCCTAGCGGTAACCGGGAAGAGGAGGTGTCTTTGTTACTACAGCGACAATTATGTAGACCCACAGTCGAACCTGTTTAGTCAAGTCTGAGTCCAATTCTTTTCATAATCATGGCAATTGCAAAATCCCATTAATCGTCAAGAATCAATATATGACGTTTAGCGATATCCCCCACATCTTGGCAACCTCCCCCCTTCTCCTTCCATCACGAAATTTTGATATCTTTTACAATACATATTCCTAATTACCAAAAAATCTCATCTCAAGTCATAGAATACAAAATAAATACAACCGTCTTCCACTTATTGACTTGTAAAAATCTCTCACGACCCCAGGAAACCTCCACATACCAGTTTCAATATATCGAACATTCGAGACCAGATAACAAAATTAACCTTCGCCAAGAAGTGAAAAAACCGTCATCGACGAAACCAGGCAGCTTTACTTGAGTAAATCAACTAAAGAATGCGCTACGGGCCCGTTATTTCGTGCATGTGCTATTAATCCTAGCTAGTATGTGTAGTTAGTCTCTTAAGTGGAATACTAAAACCTCGATATGGATTTTATTGGTGGAGGGGTTGAACTACTAGAAGTAATGATGAACTTTGAATTGAGGGAATATGGAATTCTGGAGCTTGAATGGGGCTTTACATTAAAATCGCATTGATTCGTGCCATGCTATACTATACTATGCCATAGAAGGGTAAGTTCTCTAAAACCAGAACTGGACCAGCAGAATCAAAAATTGGTGGGCTAGCTCCTATGTAACAGATAGAATATCCATCTCTACCTCTCTCCCATCTCCCGCCTTCATCCAAAACACAATCCGGACTTCTCTCATCAAGTATACTATCGTTTACACACATGCAAACACACACATACAAATATAGATTTCTTGATTTTTAATCTTAATTCTCAATATCTTCGACACCGAAATGTCTATGGTGCTCATCAATATGGCGATGCTGGAAGCAAGTTCTAAGCCAAGAGGGAGTGGTCAACAAGGAAAAGATGAACAAAAGCAAGGTTTCCTTCAAGAGAACAGTAAGAATTCTAGTAGCAAATCAAGAAGATGAAAAGTGACTCATGCATACTAGCTTGCGAGAAGAACTCCGAGAAGGTTCATGAGAAACCGGCCAAAGAATCGATGTTTTCAATATTCGAATTCCCAAAGTCAGAGCCAAATTTGAATGCACAGGAGAAGAAAGTCGAGAAAGAGAAGAAAAAAGAGATTGAGAGAAAGATCAAGGAAAATGAGAGAATCGAGAAAGAAAAGAAAGATAATAAGAGGAAGATGGACAAGAAGATCAAAGACGAGGAGAAAAGAATGGCGAAGGAGAAAAAGAGAGAGATGGACAAGAAGATTCAAGAGGACAAGAAAAAAGAGAAGGAGAGAATAAATATTGAAAAAAGAAGATTGAAAATGAAATAAGCCAAGTTAAGGTCGAGTACAAAGAGAGGCAGAAGAGAAATGATTTGGCAAGAGCAGAATTCAGACGAGTACAAGCGGAACAAGCGAAATTATATCCTTCATCGCGAGATGGTCAAGCGCGTCGCGAGACTTACATAAGCTTGCAGCAAGAATGGCGTTATCGTGATGAAAGGGCGAAGTACGAGAAAGATCATCGGATAGAACAGTTGAAGTCCAACTTGAAGGCACTGGACTTGCAATTGACAGTGTCAGGAGGAGAGATATTACGATTACACCAGTTGAAAGAAGAGGATGAAATATCCAAGGAGCAAGCAAGAGAACGATTGAGGAAATCCACAGAGGCCAGAAAATCTGCAGCGCAAGCCAGACAAACTACACAATCCGGCAAAGAAGAACCCACTAAGAAATGCATCTTACCCGTCGTCTCCCAAGAAGTCAACTCTTCTATGGAAGACAATCCCTTTTATCTGCCTGGCGAGTTCAAGTATCAGCAGATGGGAGAATGGGATTCCGACACCTGCAAGGAGTGGATCTATGATTCTCTTGAGAATGGCCTTACAAGCCTTGAGCTACAGCAGTTATTCTTCAAATTAATAAATATGCCACGTATTGGTGGAAAACGCATGTTTGGGGCAACGGAAGAGGAGTGGGTTGAGTGGTTGGCTACTCATGGTCTACTGATCCATGACAAGTTGCAGAGGATCGCCGAAGTGAGGAAGGTGGACATGTAGAAAGGGAAAGAGGGTGTCTATAGAAGCGGAAGAGGAAGCGGTTATAAAATGATGTTATGGAGCCCGATAGTATACCGAAAGAAATGTGAAAAACAATCAGACAGAGAGGACTGCTCGCTTGAACAGGCCACCTATAGATATACTGTAGATACATCATATAGTTGACAACACAATCTGAAGGTCAATAGCAGCGGTTTTGATCTCCTCTTAAAAGTAGAAATCTAAGCTGTGAAGATATCGTCCGCTGTTTGTTCCCATCCATAATTATGGTGAGTTTACTTGTGAGCTTTTTAGACACCAGTAATCAGTACCATTTGCCCATTCGTCATGGAGTATTAACCTATACCGACCCAGCCCATTCCGGTCTTTTGCAGCCTGCTTAAACAAAATCAATATACTAACACATAAACAAGTATTTACACCATGAAGTTGAATTTATACCACTCTATCACTGTTCCAACAAATTCTGAATCATCCCAAAGCTTTCTGGATCAAACTCTTACTGGTGTCGCTCATCGGTATCTGCAAGGCCAAACGGTGTCCTTCCTCGCTCATCTTCCCCCAAGTCTTTCTCAAAATTGAGATGATTTTCTCTTCATCATGACCCTTCTCAAAAGCATCAAACTGATCATCCAGAAACACTAGACAAGCAACATCCTCCAAGATCTGCGTCTCCTCATTTTTCTTCAAATCCTCTTTCCTTATCAATCTAGCCACTTCTTCCGCTTCCTCACTTGTAAAATTGCAGCCGACACATATCGCAGACGCAAGATCAGCCTGCCGTTTCTTGAGAAAGGTCCTCCAATTCAGATACCCGGGCTTGGTCATCGGGTAGGAAGATCGTGGTACTTCCCAGCGACGAAAATGCTGTGCTCGGATAGCAACTTTGAGGATGGGGGAAGCATTGGGAGCGCGGAGAGAGAGATAATGTGTCATTTTCTGGGCATAGTGAAGCTCGTATGGTATACTCTCGCCATTTATTGTGCTGATAGTTGGATCTAAAGCATGAGCTTCATCAATCAAAGTGATTGCAGCTTCGTAATTTTCCGCCGCCATTGTGTGGGATGTTTGGTGCTTGTGGCTTGTTTGACGTTCTGAACAAGCTCTGGAGAGAGTATCTGAAGAAAGGCGGAAGCAATCCGAAGTTCGTTTCGATAGACAAGCCGAGTTTGAGTAGTCTTCCTATTGATGTGAAGGTAGGTATTCCTATCTTCGTTTTGTTTACTTCGTAAAGAGAAGCTGGGAGGAGAAAGCGATAAGAGAACGATAAGGTGCGGGGTGGTAGCGATGAAGAACCAGCCACGTGCCAGCCTATCACCGCAAACACTTACAAATAAGGGATTCCCCATACAATGATGCGTAAGCCACAATAAATCCCAGTCCCGAAAAAGGGTTCAACGATCCTTTCAAGGTGTGGCTTACGCATTGACGTACCGATCATGATAGTCATCAGCCACTCTCAAATTGTAAAGTCACTCATCATTTGCGGTTGCATTTTTTGGATTAAGCTTCATAACAAGACTACTCGCCGACATTACAGGATTTATTTGCGCACCATCGTTCCTTAGCAGTTTCCTAGTTGCTGACATTTGCCAGTAACTTTGCAAGTGTAAACAAGGCACTCAATTGAATATGGGGCTAGTGTTCAAACAATATTGCCAGCACCGGAGAACATCGGACACAGAGGTATCTGTGAATGATGATGAACATGCACACAATTATTTGGCATAGTAGCAAGTACACGTTTCCGCGGGCTTTGGAGAACCAACAGTAAAAGAGCTTGTCTACTCGTATCGTCCGGCCTGGTCGATCGACACAGTATGAGCCGCGCGCTTGAACAGAATGACCAGACTTCGACCGGTTCCCATCTCGCATCCTGCGCTGCAGTGCCGAGTTTCATTTTTGGAGGCATATCATGAGATTCATGTTACATTATCTAAGCGCTTAACGTTTTTCAACTTTGATCCATATCTATGTGAGACCTCTGAGGTGCTGGCACGACCGGTCGTCAGAATTTGAGAGTCGATTGTTATGATAAGTGAAGTTGGAGCCTAGCATTTTACTGGCGATTTTTCTTGTAGAGACGAAAGAACCATTTGAGGTCAAACCACATGGTCGTTAGCAAAGGATGCTTTCGTTTTACCTGAGGGCAGCATAAGACCACATTGAACCTCAACTCTCATGTCAAAGCTTCCCGAGGTCCTACAATATAGACAGTTCTACCCCCAATAACATACGGAAAATGTCCCACTTACAGAAAACTAGTGCTTTATGCGAGAAGGATACAGATGGGGATGCTGTTTCTGATGCCATTTCTGAGCAACATGCACATTATATCGGAGAAGCCGGCCGAGACAATCTCAGGAGCTTTTAAAAAAGGTCATGCCTTAGCTTTATCGCGGTCGCAGGGTCAGGGAGCCCTTGGAGGTAATCATTGCGCCACAGGATCAAGGGACAGAAATGTAATCTGAATGTAAACAGGTCTCTGAGCCTAACTGGAGGACGAATACACAAGAATCGCGGAGCCCAATTTAAAGGTCTTGTTGGAAAAACCTGTGTCTAATATAATGTTAAGTCAGTACACCTTCGCATCTTCCTTTTCGAGCATAATTTATCCGTAACCCCAGTATCTACAGTGTCGAACCGAGTAGCCCCTAGCACTAAATCCTTTCGCCATGCCGTCGCGTGATGATGATGGGGATATTCACTACTCAGAGAAGGCGGGCACTGCCGAGCAGCAGAAGCATGCTACCAGGACTTGTGAGTTACTATGTTCTAACACTATTGAAGCTCTATTGACTGACCGTTGGCATCTGTTAATCATTAGACACTTACAAGAGCTGTCGCCAAGGTGGTAAGGATGATGAAAGCTCTAGAAAATCTGAAAGCAAGATTCGCATTCAAGTTCGAAATGTCTCCTGGAGCCCAATAAGAGCGTCTTTAGTTAGGGAATTAATCGGGAAAATTTATGATAAAGACGAAGCACGGTTGAGAGTCGGCAAGGAAAAACTATTCGATCATATTAACGCGAGCCATACCATGAAGTGGACAGTAGATCAGAGAAATAATATAGCACAACTCTATACATACAATGTCGGTATGTATGATTGAGGCAATTTGCTTCATTACAACGCTTTGCTAACAACTGTCAGACGGGGAAGGGCAATGCCGAAAAGGGCGACACGGAGAACGACTCGGGGAAGTGCGACCCGAAGATCATGATCATCCACAAGGAATATGGATGCAATGTAAGTCAACATCAGCATCTGTAGTGTAAAATGTTGGGTGGCTGATGTTCCCTGAATATATAGATAACACTTTGCTCGGCTCTGGTTATGTTTTTAACACAACGAGTGATCCAAATGCTCGAGAAGACATCTTGAATCAGGCGAGAGAGCTTTTTGTACACAGAAGGCCTCATCCCGAGACTATAGAGGGAGACTGGACATATGTTAAAGAAACTGGAAAAAAATCCAAGCTTGTTGAACGTAAAAATCTCGATCATTGGACCAATCAAACCAAAGTTGATGGTCTGCCTTGGATGGCTAGAGCTGGAACCGAGACAAAAGCCGAGACAAAAACCGAGACAATTGGGAGTGGTGTTACTTTACCATGTGAGTTGCATTTCCAGCGAGCTACACAACTGGAAATCTATCAAGAGGAGTTCGTCTAACACAAATCTTTAGATAAATTCAGAGACTACGACTTGCAGGTCCTGAATGACTGCACAGTAGAATTGGATCTGGTGACCTTGGATATTTTATTTGGCGACTATTTCTCAGTTAGATCAATTGATCCTTATGAAAAAGAAGTAAGCACAATTGGAAACTCTATTAGGCCATAATTTTCATCCCTCCATCTCAACTACTTGATAATGTTATCCCCCTTGATTCTATCATTACCTCTATTAACCAACCAATCTTTTAGTGGATCTATTGGCGAATAACAGAGGGGAGAAATAGAAATGGAAGAACCGACTTTTTTCTTTCAAGCTATTATCCTCGTAAAGAGAAAATGTCGTGTAAGTTCATCTTATATTTCAAAGCGCCAACTGCTTGTCTATATAGTATAAGCGTTTACTGACAAATAGCTAAGACCACACCCCGAGCAACAAGAAAGTTTGGGTTGTCAACAACACCACCACTGGCCAAAGCTACTTAAAGGTGCTTGAGCTACTTAAGACTACCAGGGCGGTCAATGAAATTGTACAGAACGAAAGTCACTGGAAACTTGTTTGGGACCAGGAGAAGGGCCGGCTTACCCTTAAGGAAATCAGTAATGGCAAATCAAAGGAAAATGATACCTCCCGATCCCGCCCCCGCTCTCACTACGAGGGAGCGGAGAGCGTCTATCACTCTAGCAACGAATATCAAACAGGTAGAAGGCCCGAGGTTCGCTCTACTTATAGACGTTCTCCCAGTGTCAGCAGTCGTGGTGGCAGTAACCAGGAAAGAGCCACCGACGACCGGCACAGGGAATATCGACCTCGTAGCAACAGAAGCCTCGCACTCTCAGCGCATGGGAGATATATCGGAAGAGACCAAGACTACATCTACAGTCGCAACCACCACATGGCTCCCACCTCAGGCTCGAGTTCCGGTGTTGAATCAGATGTTGTGGGGCAAGATATCTCCTTTTTCGATCCTCGAACAGCCGAAAATGGGAGTCTAAGCTCAAGTACACGCCGGCACACACAAACACAAACAGAAGAGTCGAAAGAAAGACGCCCAAGAGGTCAAAATCTTAAGAAAGTGGCGAAGTTTTTCAACTCAGATTACAGACAGGAGAGAACACGCAAGAGGAACCTGAGCAGGGAGGAGGAGTGGAAAGAGGATCAGCGGAAAAAGGAAAAGCGGAAAGAGGAAAAGCGGCAAGATGAAATAAAGAAGATGCAAAAGCGGGAAGAGAAAAAGTGGGAAAGGGAACGGACGAGGGAAGATAGGAAGAGGAGAAACAGTGGAGGTCATTCGGATTGGGAATGGAGTTATGGGGATAGAGAGAGGGCTAGGGAACCCTTGGCTCATAGGAAGTTGAAAGTTTCGTTCTCTTATCAGGGGAGTGGTAGAAGAAAGAGGGGAAGTGATGTATGAGTATTTTAAACAGGTTTAGTCTTCTTTTTGCTTTGCTTTGCTTACTTTTGTTGTTATTGTCAGTTTAATTTCTATTCTTTGAAGTTATTGTTGTCTTTGGAATTTTGTAGTTATTTTACCTGTTTCTGTTTCTGTTTCTGTTTCTGTTCTAAATTCTCGAGTAATTGATCCCCCCTCATACTTCAATCTCTTCTTTTCTATGTGTAAGCATACATACTTCACACACTCTACATACATGCATATATACATATAACATACATTTCTTCTTCCTCTCCAAGACAAAATATCTACATGCAGTACTATTCCCGCCTCAAGTTCCCACAGAGTTGAATGGCAAAATTCGATTCGATGAATCTATATACTGGGTAGATTATCGGATATCCAGCTTTTAAAATTTGTATGTGTGCACAAGAGAGTTGATTGGTAATTTTGTGCATAAGTATCTACCTACACACCTACCCATCTACCTACCTACATGTTCACATTCACATCACTGCAACATCTCACTACATTCTAGCTTCTAGATTCTGGAATCTCCAAGTTATCACAAGATCTCATTCCCTCACTCACTTACTCTCCGCATGTAGTACGTGATTTGAGTTATACGCTCAGGTAGAATGGATGTACGATGAGGTGCGTAGGTAGGTACTTTGTTTTCCGTGGAAGTTAGATTTGTAATGCGATACATCTCCAGTGTTTCATAGACCCAGCATCCAGCCAGCTAGTTAGCCAATCATCCATTCAACCACTTTTTCTTCCCAGCAATTTTCTCCAGAGATCTTCTGTGAGTTTCTGCGCTCTCTGGAGGGCGTGTAGGATTATCTATGACCAGATTGTATCGTATCAAATGATATTATATCAGATCGAATCAGCGGGAATGAAAACACATGTAATTGATGTGATGGACGTAGTAGGGAGGGAGGTGATATTGCGTTCCTAGAAGAGTATGGAGATAGATAGATGATGTTTGTTGAGAGCTTGGGGTAGATTTGATGAGGTGGGTGGGTGGTGAGTTTTATTTGTGATTAGTGATGGATGTGTGGATTGTGTTGTACATTTGTGGATGTGAATATAAATGTCAATGTAAATATCATGTCATCCCTCTCCCCTCCCTCCCATCTACCGAAGAACCTAAAGGATAACTACTCACACCATCAGATATCCTCGCGGCTTCCAATTCTAATTCCATAACATAAGACAACATAACATAACATAACCCAGCCTAACCCAACAGCAAGAAACCCACACTACTCTATTCCAAGCGAAGAAACCCCATCAATACGACATCAAAAAACTATTCACACTCTGCAGCGTCGCTCGACTCGGATTTGCATCTGGCATCGAGGTAGAAATCCAAGTTAATCTCTGACGGATGAAATCTTTATTTACCGAAGCTTCTTCTTGTTCTTCTCCGCTCGCACCTTTCAAATCCCCATTCTCGTTGAAATAAAGACACAGCAGAGCAAGCGCAACACCTATCGAGAGATCCTGTCCAGATTCACACGCGATGATGATTTGTATGGATGGATCTGAAGATTTGTTCGCAGAATATGTATTAAGATACTTGAGGAAGAAAGAAGAGATGGTTGGAAGAGCGGCGCGGAGATTCTTACTGCCTATTTTCTTTGCGCCGAGTCCAATGTCCAGACGGGAAGGAGAAGTGTGCCATGTATCTTTCGGGGTGATTTTTGGTGAGAGGACGATGGTGCAGGTACTGGTATTATTGTCTAGAGGTGGAAGCGCATCGAGATTCGAGATGGAGAGACAGGAAGTTGGTTTTACGATGCGGAGTTTATCGTTAGGTCCTGGTGATGAGCTTGTTTGATGTATCAAGGTTTCAATGAGTCCAGGTAGATCTTCTTCCGATGTCTGGAATAGGAGTTCTTGATTTGTCCAGAAAATAAGAGGTGTAAGTCCATGAGCCCAGTTTTCCGTATCGTCACCTGCTCCTTGTATATAACCACCCTCACTGATTTCTCCGCCCGAAACCCTGCGCGAAACGGTGCAGCAAACAACTGGATGGAAGTCTTCAAACACCTGGCTTGTTTCTGAGATTTGAGACTCGGGAGTCACCCAAATGGGTCTGATGGGTTTGTGAATCTTTTCTCGGAAAGATTCAATCGGGAGATTGAGAGTTTGAAATGCTTTCACGAATTGAGGAATCAGATTGGCCATTTGGGCTTGCTCGGAATCGGAAACTACTTGTGGTGGAGCGTAGAGCTTGTGAGCGGTTGGAATATCAGGAAAGAAGACACGGTTTAGTACACAGCACCATATTGGGATTGTTTTGCTTAATGCATCCGGCATACCTTTTCATCATTAGTATACTTGGAGCGAAATATAGAATCTAATAAGTAACTAACGCTTTCCACGCCGAGTAGAATCTACAATGATACATCTGCATGGAGCTTTCAGCCTATACTCTATGAAAACTTTACTTGAGTACAAACCCATCATATTTACCAATGATCTCTAATAAATGTAAATTCAGTCTTCGGGAGCTGAATTTCCAGACTCCAGTGTGACCATCGGTACTTTTGAAGTATGCACTTCCTCCTTTCTTGCTGGGATCAATATACCAGCTACCGCATCTCTCATTTGCTACAAGTGGTCTATGATATGCATTTGCGACCGACTGGGCGAATTCCGCGTCTTCGAGAATTGATCGAAGCCGATTATGTATGGATAAAGTACTTCGTTTGATTTCACCCAGAGTCTTTGAGAAGTTGTGATTTGCTTGCTCATTGAAGACAATATCCGCCACTGTTAAAGGCATTTGAGATATCAGATACTTAGCTGTATGTCGAGGAAACCCAGCTTAGATTTCAATACGTTGGAGGAGCGAGGGGTATCGAATCGTGTATCTCGAAGCTCAAAAATTCTGGTGGGGGTTTCATTAATTTGGGCGGTGAGATGTGGCAAAATTAAAGATTGAATTTCACACAATTCCCAAAGCCGGGAATAAACCCCTCAAAATGTTATTCCCAAACGATGTATTTTGATTCCCAATTCGGATTGATGAGGATTGAAACTCTCGAGGGATTTCATAGATGTGCAACAGTTGGGTTGAGAATGCAGTGTTCACCGCTTCCTGGCAAAGCAATTTCCAACCACATCAGCGCTGAGTGCACAATCCATTTGCCAAGAAGCTACAGCGTTTACCGGACAATGTTTATCTCGGATTTCACCAAATCTTATATTCTAGATCTTGTGCATTGGTTGTACACGCTACACATTTCCGAATAAATTTTCAGTACTAGAGAATGTTGGAATGAAGTTTTGGTCGATCACATCAAGCTCTTGAATCTTAGGATTGGAAAGGATGCTCATAGATTGGTTTCTTTTGGAGGTCATGATTGAATTTGTTGTGCATACTCTCCGTTCACCGGGAGCCCAAATAACCTGACTCGCGCGCCTCGTGCTTGAATTCTTGAATAGCATTGGGTAGATAAGTTTGCTAGATGCTTGACGTCTAAATAGCCAGATGCAGTATCATGAAATTGTGTTGATCATGAAATAAGCGATCTTGTTGTTGGGCTCAGCTTACACTCCCGATGTGGCCACGATGGGAATTGTTTTTGGGAACAGCATATCGTCAGACATGTGTTGTTCGGTTATTAGGTGAGAGGAGATATGATACCATCTACTATGGGGAAAGCGCCAGGTGGAAAATATCCGACCTTGTGCATACCTAGGTAGCTCTAGTATCATGTAGGTAGGGTCTCCTGCATCCGCAAAGGCTCAGCCTAGAATGATGACTAATCTATTGTGCCTGACGAGTGTACCACCAGCTCATGCGATCTTTGACTAGAAAGGGGATGGCGACACATTTAACGGATGGGCTGCCATATAAACATTGTTAGACGAGGTGGATGAGATCAGCGATCTGTGGAGTCCCCTATTCGGCTTCATGCGCGAAAGACTTGGAGATTATGGTACGTCGTGAAGCAATTTGTCGAGCGAGCACAGCATGATATTCCAGAGACGTGACATGTATCGCCAGCTGTCCTCGCTGGAGTTGCTGGATATCAACAAGATCACCTTCGGCTGTTGAGGAGACTACCCCTTCAGCCGCCTGTCGGTAATGTTGAGCTCAACAGTAGAAATTCTGCCCCTTTAATTATCAGAATCGACCGTCACAAGATCAATAAATCAACCTTAAGGTTGGGTTGCATACGCACTGTACCTTACAACTACTGTAGGTGATTGATTTCCCAGCTTGAATGGGCACTCTGCAGCAGCTGGAAAGACGCCCAAGCCATTCTATGGAGTTTGATCAATCCATCACGCATAGCGGTACCGGAAATCAGGATCCGACCAGTACCCTAGTATCAGCGTGGGGGTCCATTTAATTGCAGATGCAAGCAGTTGATCACAAGAGATGAACGCAGAGATTATGAACATATTTTTATCTGATCTTTTGAGGAACATCTTCTCCTAGACACCAAATGTTCCGAGTAGCCGTAAGCGATTAGGTGAAGAGAGAGTTGGGTTGGTTGTGTTTGAAGCGAAGTAGAAGTGAAAGATCTCGGGCCGTCAATGTTATTATCAATGTGGGGAGTGGATGGAGCGAATGGAGAGGAGAGTGGGGTTGTGGGTGGGGACCATTCTCACCGCCAAGGGGTGAAGCTTGGCAGAAAAAGATGCATGGACCAATCAAAGGAAATATTTGTATTAGATGGCTGGGATTAGCGAGTGACGTATATTTTTGCTCTGTGCCGACTGATGAAAGATTTAATACGACCATGGCATCCATGTGCAGTGTGTGCACCAATGCGAGTTTGCGAGATGTGCATGGTGTTGTGGTATTATGGTATGGTGGTATGGTGGTATGCTGGTATGATGGCATGTATGGCGGATACAAGATGAAGAGGCTGTTTGTGTTGAATGTTTCAATATTCAATATTCAATATTTTACCGACAAAATTATACTTTGTGAACGCATGATAACTGTCTACTAGCAGGTATGGGTATGGGCATGAGCATGGGCATGGGTACGG